CTGCTCATGGGTCTAGGGGCTGCAAAGACCTGGTGGCCGCTTCCGGGTACCGCGTGGAATTAGGGCAGGCAGGGAGCCTGCTTTAGCCCTGGGCCCCAGCTGCATCGCCAACTGGAACCGACAGAGTCTCTTTTCAACCAAGCATTCCGGAGGCCTGGAAGCCTTATTACAAACACTACAAGCATTGTGACCTGCATAATGTAGTTTTGTTTTGGTTCTGTTGCTGACACCAGAGTGTCGGAGGGTGGGATGTTTTAAGTTTTCAGGTGGCAAGTGATCTAGGGAGGACCTGCTCAGCAAAGTTATCAAACTTTGTATGCAGGGATAGCAGAAATTGCATAGTTTAAAATAGATGACCTGAGTGAAGGGTCACCAAATCATCAGATGGTTTGAAGGCAAAGATATCTTAAGCTGATGTCAGAACACTTTGAAAATAATACTTGTAGGGTCTGAATACAGTAAGATTTTGGAAAAGATCAGCAATTCAGATTAGCATTAGGAGACTAAAGGTTTGCTCTTCTGTTTGTGGGGAAAGGAAGGTTTTCAGCCTTTTGTAGATGTACTTGTCTGCATGTCTTAATCTTTCAGAAACCTGCTGCAAACATATTCGTTGGCATGTCACTTGCATCAATCAGTTTTCAAAACCAAAAGTTACATTCTTCTCCTTTATGGTAATACACAAGAGAGTTTTAAAGTTGTGACTTCTGCATGCATCTGGGATGCTTATATCCTCTGGAACAATGAGATGCACCTCTGCTTATGTCTGCAGGAGAGATTTAGTGTAGAACACATTTTATTGGTATGGCTCAATAGCTGGATTTCTTTACATGGAGTCAGATGTTTCTCTTCATGGTGAAAATCAGAAACACTGCACAGTATTATTGATTTCTGAAGGAAGTCCTCCAATGAACTGAATTAGTTCTGCCTAAAAACTGATGCCACTACAGTAGAACCTCAGAGTTATGAACATCAGAGTTATGAACTGACCAGTCAACTACAGACCTCATTTGTAACCGGAAGTACACAACTGGGCAGCGGCTGAGACAAAAAAAAAAAAAAAAAAAGGAACTACAGTACAGTACTGTGTTCTATGTAAACTACTAAAAAAAAGAAAGGGAAAGCAGCATTTTTTTTCTGCATAGTAAAGTTTCAAAGCTGTAGTAAGTCAATGTTCAGTTGTAAACTGTTGAAAGAACAACCATAATGTTTTGTTCAGATTTATGAACATCTCTGAGTTACAACAACCTCCATTCCCAAGGTGTTCGTAACTCTGAGGTTCTACTATATATGATCCGAGATGTAGAAAGGCTAAGATCCTGTTTAACCCCTCCTCCCCTCTACAATATTCAGTTTGTGAGTTAACATGTATCTTGTAAAAATGTTTATAACAACTGTAAGAGCCCGTGCCATAAGGAAATGTGCAGTAAACTGTTCCAACCTCTCTGAGATCCATCCAGAATTTCCCCACACAATTTGCAGTAAACACAATAAAAAGCAAGGATAATTCTCCACAATATGTATTTGTCATGAGAATGAACAAATCACTCCCATCTGGCATTGGATAAGCAAGTGGCAAGCTGTGACTTCTGTTAAACTGTTTTTGTTTTATTACCTCATCTTTCCAACCTATCCCCTTCCCCGTCCCATTTGTCTTTTTCATCCAGCTGTTGCATCCTGTCCCTTATGTAGCTTGTGAGCTCTCTGGGGCAAGGATTGTCTCTTTTGTTATTTGTCTGAACATTACCTAGCACAGTGGGTCTCTGATCCTTGATTGGGGTTCCTATATGCAGCTATAATAATGATTCCCCTGGCGATGTCCGTACACTGGATCCATGCTGCTTGGGAATCCCCTTACCATAGCTACGGTCTCTGTTAAAGGTTGGGGGTTCCCCACTTTACAAGAAAAGTGACATAGGCTGTATTGTCTTTTTTGTGGGACTTCCATAGGAGTGGTTGGGGACAGAGTACAAGAGGCTTCATGGGGTTGCAGAGACAGCTGCAACAACCGCTTTAAAGGCTGTCTACTTGTGGCCAGTTTGGATAAAAAAAAATAAAAAGGGGACAATAGGCTCTTGCAAGTTGTTTCATGTTCTGAGTGACAGAAATTCTGAATGTGTGGCTTGAGGAAACCATGTATGCTTAGGCTCTAAAGTCTAAGGGCAACTGGAAAGGTGGCTGTTCTTGTTAGGAAATAATTGTTAATGGGGTCCAAGTGTACCTGATTAGTCTCTGAAGCAACAAGCAAAAAGATTTTTCTAGTTATAAGAGCTTCCCACCCCATCTTTATTGTTGTACTGTGTATCCCTGCCTCCATGAATCAAGTGATAGCACTGTTTATGCATGGCTGGAGTTCTAGACAATTTATGTATGCACTGGCCAATATCAGTGGTTGTGGGCACTTTTCTTTGTGAGGAGACTGAACCAGTTAAGATCCTTGTTTTGTTTACCCTTTATCCAATGTAACATTAATTTGATTGGGGAAATGGGAACCACCTAAGCTGCATTTGGCTGTCTTCATTAATATTCTGGTACATCGTTTTAATATACATGCTTTAAAGCCTTGATATAAAAATCTGCTGTTCCACTATGACTCCATGCACTTCAGCAGAGATATTCTTGATTTACACTGATGTAACTGAGAATAAATTTGACCTAGTGAAGTCATTCATTGCCCATCTTTCCAGAACACTCGGATATAATCCTCAATAGCTTAAATTGTTGTTAAATAGCTTTTTATGAAAATACCATTTTAAACACCCTGATTTGAGACCTCTCATGAAATATTCATTGTATAAAGTGTATGCCTCCCTTCTCAAAATATTATTTACAGTATCTTGGATGGAATGATTTAACAGAGAGGATTAGAAATAGGATTTTAAAAGTAGCTAAAGGCATATAATACTATATAAATAAAATAAAGGTCTTGTAGATTCAATGCCAGGGGAATGAAAGGTGAATGAGAATGGGTAGCAGCGTGGTTAGAAGTCAAGAGTAAATGACATCAGGTTTTGTCAGTTTTATCCTGGGCAATTTCCCCATTTTCAGTCTTGCAGTCCTCATCCTATGGTTCTCTTCCATCTGTCACGAGGAGGCTCCAGCATGTAAACCTAGCAACAGAATTAGACTTTCAACCAGAGGGCAGATTTAAGAGGATTTCTCATGTAAATTCCTAAGAAATCTCTTGATACATATCAATAAAAGTTCTGTATTTGAGAACAGAATTTAACTCTTAGACAGACATTCTTAATAATGCTATGTTTAAAGTTATCACTTTTTTCTGGAAATGTTGATTTACCCATTTTTAGAAGAGAACATTTGGATACACTGCAGTTTTTTAATTAAAATATTAATTTCTTTCTTCTTAGATCTTTACACTTTTCATTGCTCTGTATTACTTTAGAAAGGGGAAAACATATAAGGTATTCAAATAAACAAGGTAAATAAAAATTCAACATGCATTTGTTTTTTGTGGAACAGGACTAGACATCTCTGAGAGCTTTGGGTAATGCTTTCACCTGTGTCAGGAGTGGCCAAACTTACTGACCCTCCGAACTGCATACAACAATCTTCAGAAATTTGATAGCCAGGGTGCACCTGCCAGGGCTTGGGGCTTCAGCCCCGTTCCTGCTGAAGCCCTGAGCTACAGCAGGCGTGCCCCGTGGGGCTGAAGGCCCAAGACTCCCCCCTCCCCCTGTGCAGGGCAGAAGCCCCTACTCCACCACCCTGCTTGGAAGGCAGAAGTCCCAAGCTCCCCACCACCAAGTCTAGTAGGTAAAGAATGGGGTGGAAGGGTTGGGGGTAGGGAGGGCTCTGAGAGCCGCACTTTAACTGTAAAAGAGACGTATGTGGCTTGTGAGCCACAGTTTGGCCACCCCTTACTTATGTCATGTTTGTTACAAAAGGGAAATTGACAAAGCGGCAGTTCTGCAGAAAAGGACCTGGGGATTACAGTGGACGAGAAACTGGATATGAGTCAAGAGTGTACCCTTGTTGCCAAGAAGGCTAATGGCATTTTGGGCTGCATTAGTAGGAGCATTGCAGCAGATTGAGGGAAGTGATTATTCCCCTCTGTTTGGCACTGGTGAGGCCACATCTGGAGTATTGCCTCCAGTTTTGGGCCCCCCACTACAGAAAGGATGTGGACAAACTGGAGAGAGTCCAGCGGAGGGCAACAAAAATGATTAGGGGGCTGGGGTACGTAATTTATGAGGCAAGGCTGAGGGAACTGGGATTATTTCGTCTGCAGAAGAGAAGAGTGGGGGGAGGGGATTTGATAGCAGCCTTCAACTACCTGAAGGGGGGTTCCAAAGAGGATAAAGCTAGGCCAGTGGTAGGCAAATGGCCTGTTAGGGTAATCTGCTGGCAGGTCACGAGACAGTTTGTTTACATTGACCGTCTGCAAGCATGGCCACCCGCAGCTTCCAGTAGCCACGGTTCACCACTCCTGGCCAATGGGAGCTGCGGTAACTGGCAGCCAGCCCATGCCACTTCCCGGAGCTCCCATTGTCCGGGAACGGTAAACCGTAGCCACTGGGAGCTGCAGGTGGCTGTGCCTGTGGACAATCAATGTAAACAAACTGTCTTATGACCTGCCAGGGGATTATCTTGATGGGCCGCAGGTTGCCCACCACTGAGCTAGGTTGTTCTCAGTGGTGGCAGATGACAGAACAAGGACCAATGGTCTCAAGTTGCAGTGGGGGAGGTCTAGGTTGGATATAAGGAAAAACTGTTTCACTAGGAGGGTGGTGAAGCACTGGAATGGGTTACCTAGGGAGGTGGTGGAATCTCCATCCTTAGAGGTTTTTAAGGCCTGGCTTGACAAAACCCTGGCTGGGATGATTTAGTTGGGTTTGGTCCTGCTTTGAGCAGGGGCTTGGACTAGATGACCTCCTGAGGTGCCTTCCAACCCTGATCTTCTTTGATTCTATGAACATGTATAGCACAATGCACTGTACACATAATGATAAATTTGGAAAATAAAAGTGTATTTCTTTCTCTAGGGGCTGATCTTCAAGTTTGTACATCCAAAAACCTAACATGTTGTACCAAAAAGATGGAGGAGAAATACCAGATTGTAGTAAAGCAGGATATACAACAAGTGCTTCAGACATCAAGCTCTACTTTAAAGTTTTTAATATCTCATAATGCAGCTGCTTTTCAAGGTAAATCTTTCTACTGTACATTTTAAAGTTTATTCAAAAAGCATTTTCTTAACGTTATCAGATGCTTAAACTGATCTGTGATAAGTTACCTTTTTTAGTTCCTCTTAATACTTATTGTACTTTATCAAAAAGAGTATTTAATTGTGGAGGATGGGCTGTGTGTATTAATTGTGTGTGGCTGGTAACTAGTGGCCTTTGAGAAAAATAAAGAAGTGGGTTTAATTAGGTGCTTTGTTTAGGGCTTTACACCTTTGAATATCTAAAAAGTGTCATGATGAATTTCACTTTGATATGCATGCACACTGCAAAGCCCTCCCTCGGATCAATTAGTCCTTGGCAGGGTTGGTGGTATAGTAGCTTTTCAGCAGGTTCTCTCACCACAACCCCTCCACACTGGTGAAGGGTCCTCTGCATAGGCTGATGTGGATGGCAGTTGGGGGCATGGAACTTAACTCACATTTAACTTGATTACAAGAATATGCCTATCTGCGCACACTGTATTCATGCTCCAGAACTATAAACCCTCACACCAAATTACCACTGTCATGGTTACGGGACTAGCTTCCCCTCTGTCCTTTTTTTAATCTTTGAGTACATACCTCAGGTGTTAGGCCTCTTGTCCGCATCTGTTTTGGGGTGGTAATTGCTTTGCAAAAACCTTTGTTCATCCAATGCTATGCTGTCTAAAGAGACAGGCAGCCATTTTGTGCTCCTTTCAGTGATGAATGTCACCAGAGGGGAGAAATGCACTGGGTGCTTTCTGATAGGACCTTTACTTTGGTCTCTTTTATTTTTCTTTTAATCAGAAATAAGTTATTCAAACTAAAAGTGTCTGTTTTCTCTTCGTGTATAGGAAAAAAACTCTTAAAATTGAAATAGCTGACTTGTAAGGAGCTTTTACTATTGAGGCTTTAAATAAATGATTAGTTGTATATTGAATTTTCTTTTTATAGAGGGAAGAATAGATTAATATATTCCAAGATCAGAAGGGATCATTGTGATCATCTAGACTGACCTCCTGTATAACACAGGCCATAAAACTTCCCTAAAATGGTTCCTAGAATAAATCATTTAGAAAAAACATCCATTCTTGATTAGAAATTGTCAGTGACTGAGAATCTACCATGACTCTTGGTAAATTGTTCCATTGGTTAATTACTCTCACATTAAAAATGTATGTCTTATTGCCAGTCTGAGATTTCCGAGCTTCAACCTGCAGCCATTGAATTATTTTATACCTTTCTCTGCTAGATTGAAGAGACCATTATTAAATATTTGTTCCCCATGTAGATACTTACAGATCGTGATCAAGTCATACTTACCCTTTTTGTTAAGCTAAATAGATTGACCTCCTTGAGTCTATCACTATAAGGCATGTTTTCTAATACTTCAATCATTCTCATGGCTCACTGTCTCCAGTTTATAAACATCTTTCTTGAATCATGGGCACCAGAACTGGATGTTCCAGCAGCAGTCACACCAGTGCCAAGTATAGAGGTAAAATAACCTCTCTACTCCTGCTCAAGATCCCCCTGTTTATGCATCCCAGGATCACATTAGCTTTTTTGGTTACAGCATCACACTGGCAGCTCATTTTCATTTGATTATCCACCACAACCCCAAAATCTTTTTTCAGAGTCACCGCTTCCCAGGATACAGTCCCCATCCTGTATGTATGGCCTACATTCTTTGTTCCTAGATTTATAAATTTATGTTTAGCCATATTAAAATGCTTATTGTTCGCTTGCGCCCAGTTTAACAAGCAATTGAGATTACTCTGAATCAGTGATCTCTCTGCTTCATTATTTACCATTCTGCCAATTTTTGTGTCATCTGCCAACTTTATCAGTGATCATTTTATGTAATTTTTGCCCAAGTCATTGATAAAAATTTTAAATAGCATAGGGCTAAGGAATGATCTTTGATGGATCCCACTGGAAACACACCCACTTGACTATTAAGTTTAGTAGCTTCTATTTAATATCCTCCAGAGACACTAGTGGAATAGAAAGATTGTTATCATCATGACCATATTATGAGACTATCTCATCTGTTATTTTTACCAAAGTACAAAACAGAAATGTTTATTGATCACTTCTGCCTTTTCTGCATTATTACTGAGAATTCTACCATTGCCATCTAGTAGTGGACAAAAATCATGGTCAGGATTCTTTTGGTTTCTAATATATTTAAAAACTCCTTAACTCTGCTTGCCAAAGAGTTCCTCCTTGTAGCCTTTTGCTTCTCTTACTTTTCTACAATTTTCTACAATTACTACCTTTTGATTGACATTCTTTACTATCAACTTTCCCTTTATTTTATTTGTTTTTTGTTTTAAATTTATAGCACCTTCACTTCCCCTCAAACCCAGGTGAGAAGAAAATTTGGTAGCATGTGTAAGCTCTCAGCCAACTCTAGGTTTAAAACTTTATTTGACCTTAAAGAGATGACTTGTGGAAATGTGGGTGTTGAATGTACAATTGAGTTCAAAAGGAAAATCACCATCAGTGTTGCCCAAAATTTGAGGTGATTGCTAAATTCAAGTATGGCCATTACAGCCAGATATACCGAAATAAACTTGCATGAATTCCAGATGTCCTAAAATGCTGTTCTTGATATGTGTTTGGGTCTTTCAAGTCACAGAACACATAAGTGAATGCTGAAATATTCTCAAGGTCACAGTTTTCTCTTGCAATACCTGAAGTCAGTTCAGCTTTAGACCTTGGAGCAAGATTTTGGTGTATTACTTGCATCATCCCATAGAAGAATTTTGAAATGTCCTTCTTAAAGATGTGATCATACATGTTGTATGATTATAATGTAGGTTCATTATGGGCAGCAGCAATGTAAACTTACCAGCACTATGCCACAGTGTGCTTCTTCCCTTGATGGGGCAGACCTCTCTTATTAGTGAGAAAGTAGTTCAGGCTCTATGCCTATTCATTTCTTAGCTTTTCTGCTGAGACTATCCACAATAATTGCACTTAGTATCAATTGTAGCAGCTTTTTGTTTTAAAATACAAAACAACAAAGAGAGCCCCAGTTTTTCTATCACAGAAAGAGGGAATGTTTGCTCGGAAACTGAGGGTTGCCCCTTATGCATCGTTTTAAACTTGCAAGTGGACAGACCCCAAACACTTCGATTTAATGTTTCCTCTGAACAATGGCAACCCTGATAGTCTCCCTAGTTCTGCACTTCAAAGTCAGCAGTGCATCTGTGTCCAAGTTTCTGGTGTTAATTTTTAAACTATGATCTTATTTTGAGCAAGTGCCACAAACCAAGTATTGTAATTTTTATTTTATTTAATAGGGTCAGGTTGGCCCTGGTAGGGGTGCTTTCTCTGTGTGTCCCTGGGTGCCATGGTTATCCCAATGGAGGTTGGAGGAAAGTGGGCCCATGGCTTTGCTTGCCCCCACACCAACCCATGGAACCATTCAGATGCACTGGCAGGGAGTAGGGGCTTCACCATCGTAAAGGCTGTGGAGTTCTTGCATATCCAGGGTGGGGGTGGGAAGGTGGCATGATCCTTCCTCAAGCTTGCTCTGAAATGCTGCGCCAAGACTAGTATGGCCCTCGGTCTAACAGGTAAAAACTAGCCTATAATGTAGTTTTCAAGTGTTTGTTATTATAAAATCTCTGTATTTTAGAGAACAACATGTCACTTTAATTAGTACAAATTAGAACACTTGCATGCCAGCTCTTGGTAGAATGTTATAATTCCTTTCTTATGTATAGTATGTTTCAGAATGTGTATTGTGACAAAACAAGCTATACATCTTAACCTCTTCTATTACCTCTAAGATAAGAATAAAATAATATTAACTAACATGGCAAGTGGGAAATGTTCAACAGGGAAGAAGAAATCACTCGTCCCTGAGGGAAGGTGATTGGAGAACTTAAGTTGTATGATAATGATTGGACTTCCACTTGTCCTACAAAATGGTTGATAACTTTGATTAATTACAAGTTATTTTCTTCAAATATAGCTAGTGCATGAATTTTCATGGAGATTTTGACTGTGAAGCAGTGCAGCAAACTGTTTTAGAGTTAGTGGGAATCGAAGAAATATAAGATGTAAATTTGAAACACAATCATTTTTATTGACTCAAAAACTGTTTTACCCTTTGCAAACACTTTCCTTTGTCTTCAGAGTAAACTGACAGTTTTCAGGCCAAATGAGTATTCCAAGCTAAAATTATGTGTAGTGGTTTGCGCTAAAATAGGACTTTATAAAAGAAGCTGACTGCCTCCTTAACTATGGTAAGGTCACCACTTGTCTATAATATCAGAAACAAGCAGTCTCAGAAATTAAGGTAATCCAGAGTTTTTCAGATAGCCAATTAAAATTAACATTGAAAGCATACATTAGTGGTACATGCTATATCAGCACATCTGTTACAAAACTGCTGTGCGTGTGTGTGTAAAATTTGAACAAAAAGTGGCTTACCCACTTTTTTAAAATGAAAGTGAGAAAAGTGCTTCTCTCCCACACTTCTTGAAGATATTTTTATAATAACTTGAACAGCTCTAGTGCTGAAAGGTTGGGCATAGAAAGTTGAAATACAGCATGTAAATAGTCTTTGAGGATAGTTGCCTTTTTAACTGTCATGATGAAAATTTATTTTGATTTCACCAGGTTAAGCCTCTGAAAAGTTCTTTGCACCTATGTGCTTGATTTGATTCAAGTTGTTAACAAATTAACTGATGTCCAAGTGCTAGTAGGCTGTACTGTGCATGTGCCTAGACCTCACTCAGTCTCCTTAGTTCCTCCAAAATGATTTCTAAATGATTCTGGGAACACTTGATGCTATTCTGTCACTAGCAGTATTCCCCAGAATGGCCTCTTGGCCTAAAGGAAAGAGAAGAACGGTTGGGTTCCAAGAGGTTCTGAATTCTACGCCCATATCTTTCACTACAGAATCTTTATTCTCAGCACTTCGGGCCCTCTTTTTAGTCAAATGAGGAAAATATTGTTTTCCTCATCCAGCTGTTTTACATA